TGAATAAAAATTTAATCAAAAAAAAGAAAAAAAGGTTTGATACTGTTTTTACAGAGTTGGATGAATGTGTTATCGAGAAAGGGTTGGATGTTGGTGGTTTAGAAGTCGTTCTTTTTCCGCCCGAACCCTGTTCAATGGATTTTGCTATGGAACAAATTTAATGGCCTTCCCATAGCAGAAAGTCTAAGCGATGCACAAATCGGGGAAGACCTGGGTGTTAGGGTGGATCAAATAAATAAAAAAACCCCTTCCCAACCAATCCCTTCAACTTTCCCTGACTTCTTTTGCAAACGGAGATCGGGGGAAATGGCCCTAGGTGGTTTCCAACTGGATCTCTCGGAAGGTCGAAGGAGCACCACGATGATGGTCAGACTCCTCCACGGAACCTCTGAACGAAGGAATGATATGACTTGTGTTCCTTGAGAGAGGAAAGTCAACTGGAGTACATTGGCTCATGGCAGGGACCACACAGGGGATCAGGCAGTCTAAGGAGACATTCTTCTGACTATTAAGTTATTTTGGGTGACAAACTGTGCGATCTGTTGGGGACATATCTCCAACTTTTGTGGATACGACAACACGTGAAACCTACTTTACAACGGGTAATTAAGCCCACTACTCGTATGGAAGTAGGAAAATTCTAAAGGTATCTGACGGAGAGGTCATCACGTCATCCTTCACCCTTTTATACTAGAAGAAGATAAAAAATACTGTTTTAGTCTCGAAAGAGAAAAAAAAACTAATTTAGGCCCTGCTCATGTGGAATGTATGTTTCATGTTTAATAATGTTGTTGAATTCATGATTAGGGCAATAATCTAGTCCTGTTCTATGAAAAAGGGCTCCTGAAAATTAAAGCCCTGCAAGTGCCTCTGAACTGAACAAGATACTCGGTCGACATCTTGTTCAGAGGCACATGTAGGGTAAAGCTAAAATGGAAAAAGTTATTATATACCACATGCATACCCCCTGCCAAAGCTTTTTTTTCTTTTGAGACTAAAACTGTGTTACTTATCCTCTTCTAGTATGAAAGTGTGAGGGATGAAGTCTCTCAGTTCTGATCGATTCTGTATAAGGGATGCGCACCAGCGTCTGATTTCCATACAAAATCGTAGTGGTGATTTGAATGCGTTTGTGGCCTATACATTGAATTCCATGGCCACTTGATGTACAAGTCAGTGTTTTAATCCTCCCAGACGACTCTTTTACTATATAACCGACCCCGGAGAGATGAAAGACTTGGTTGGCCTTGACGGATATCGATAGTGCCCCTATAGTACTTCTATTTATTCTTCGAAAAAAAAAAACAAGGCAGGGGACCATATTTTTGTTTAAAACTAATTCTGTCTACCTCGACAGAGGCTTGAAAACTTAAACTCTCTCATAACTATTGTTCACCGACGACCCCATACATTCAATCGGTAGTTAATACATGCCCTTCACACCAGTTGTACTTTTTCCTGGGCAGCATCGCGTCACCATGGGAAACTATTAACTTTGCCGATGAAAAAAAANAAAAAAAATTGTGATAGATTTATCGCGTAAATCTACCATCTACAGTAATTGATTGACAGGAAAGCCCACTGTTCCACTAATGGAAGCTCATATGCCATCTTATGACCCTTAGAATCGAGCCGTGAGTCTAAGGTCAGTCACCAGAACTTTCAAACAGCGTAGAAGTTTTTAAGTCCCACTTTCGTTTTATCACGAAAACCGCGTTGCAGCAGCCCCATGAAACCCCATATAGCTCATGCATTTACAGACACCATAATAACCTTTGGCTTTTAAAGTTCTATGTTTCTGGTGCTTCTCTTGCACTACAGATCAGAGAACCCTAAGTAACGAAGTGTGCTGCTTTTCACCTCCATGTCGAAATTCCTGAAAAGAATTCGAGAAATTCGGAAATTCAAAAAAGTGGTGACCAGGAGAGTAGTTCTAGCTAATGAAAAGACCAGGACACCTCAAGATGTGTTGTCAAAGCTTACCAACGAATTCAGTGCTAAATGAACATATTCAAACAATACGGCAGATAGTAGAAGGAGAAAGATATGTTATGCTGATGAAATTTTCTGGCATTTCTCTGCGCTCTTGAGGTTCCAACTTCCATTCGGAATTGCTGTGGTCTTTGAATAGTATGTGGCCCATACGATAAATTGCGTGGACAACGGGTGTACAAGTCGGGGCTCGCTCACTTAGCAGACCCTGGAAGAATGCGTGACCTGGTATGTGACACTCAGGTATCGTTTCAATATTTGATTCCTAATCATGAATGCGATAGTCGTGATTGCGTCCGCTGCCTGAAGGTTCTCTAGGAGTTGATAACAAAAGGACGTCAGAATTCACGGAATTATTAGTCATTTCATACATTTTTTCTAAATGAGCTTCAAAATGACTTAATACGACCTCCTTAATACTGATTTCATGGCCCCGTACATGTATATACATAAATAATGTCAATGATATCCCTCAAGGAAGGCTTGCCAATGATTTTATTGAGGTCTCGGATGAGAATTACCTGATACCAAATGGTGATACCTCGTTGCCCTCGTAATTTGGGACGAAAGACCTCCCTACCAAAATTTCAACGAACGTATCAGTTCGTAACTCCAGATCCGCTCATGCAGGTTTTTTGATGTTTCAAAAAACCCGTTCACCCAGCTCTGCCTCACAGAGGAATATCCCAGTGATGATTCATACTTAGAGAAGAGTAATGTTTAGTGAGGTGAAAAGAAATGCTTTGCAGGATTTCAGGCAGACCACCCACGATGTACTCTATGAGTGTCCTCAGTGTTTATGTCGAGCAAAGGCCCAAAAGATCGTTCATAGATCATTTCTCGCAGCCAAGAAGACTGCAGCTCTGCTTGCAGATTCAGTTTCATAAGTGAAAACATTAACATCGATGGATTGCTGCTGGAAGAGGAGCACATCGAATACTTTTCTGTATCCAAGGTGAACTACGCTTACGTGATTGAAGGGATCATGCTGGGAACCTTCATTCACCTCTTTTAACCAGTTTGAAGATAGAAATGGCGTCTGAAGGAGCTTTAGAGCAACTTTGGCTTCAAGGCTTTGACAAAATTGTTAAAGGCACAGTTCACTATAAAAATGGTTTCCGAGATTTCCCCACAGGATGAATTTGAGGCCCCACTTATGCCATAACTGGCAATATTAGGTCGGAAAACGGCCTAGTTAGGGAGTTAGAAAGGCTCAAAGATTGGCCCGTGTGCATTCTCGGACAGTTTCATCGGCATTATAGAGGCTGCACCGTTCCCAATGGAACCCATGTAGGAAATTCAAACAACTTGTCATGACCCATAGCGACAGTGAAAGACAGTTTTGAACAGTTCTGGCTAGATGTAGTCGGCCCTNTGTGCAATTGCAATAGCTGAAATCTCGTCCGAATACCCCTTCCATGTTATTTCCGATATGGCAATCTCGCAACCTCCATTTTCCCTACTTTTGAGGATCCATATTTCTATCGAAATCGGTGAATTCTCTTGCTTTCTTCACTACCGAAGAACTATTCCCAATCTATACTTCCGTTTTTCGAAAAAAACGGGTACCTCAAAATTATCGTGAACTGTGCCTCTAAGATCGAGAAACTGCTCGCCAGCAATGTACGTTGAAGCAACAAAACTATGTAGAACCGAAGTTAAGAACGGACTCGAATCTCTACCGTAATCTCCTTAATAGTCTACATTAGGGCAGTCGTGAAATGCTAAAAATAACAAAGATTAACTGCATAACAACAATATGGACCAATTATAGGATTACGGTAAGTATTTGGAGCAGTACTGAGCCGAGACAACTACCCACCATGCCAAGGTCTATCTAGAGTGGCTGCGGAAGAGAAATAATTACAATAAAGTGTTCGGGTAGGGAATAAAGTAAGACTACTTTTACTTACTACACGGTCGAAAACTTTCTTTTTCGTGCTGCTATCAAAGTTCAGGGCAGAATCAAACATTGTAAATAGGAAGCAACCATTAAACAAATCGGATCTGGGCGAGTAACGGGGCTAATCGAGCTCGAGCTGGGGTACTCTATCGAATTGGCTTTTCATGAACTTTACACCCGCCCGAAGCGGTTTTTCACGAGCACTGAGGTGAACTGGTACAATGCAGTAGTAAAATAATAGATCATTTCATCGAAACTCTCCCAAACCCAACTTTCCCGAGCTAGCCTACTTCTAGGGGATTCCCATATTGAATGAGTAGGAACCCCTCCCCAAATGGCAATGGCAGCTAGAGTTTCTGGAAAATCCTACATAGTTTCACGAGGGTCTCCGGTAGGTCTCCTGCGGAACTACGAGAGCCTGCCACAGATGTGTACAGTATGGCAGTAACTCAAAGGCTTTTTCTCTAACTTCTCCGCAATTTTCCAAGTCATGAGGGTGACCAATGAGTTGGAACTCATCGCCTTCTACCCTGCCCTCCTCTTTTTCACACTCCAACTCGTATCCCACCCAGACAGGTCAAATGCCCCCCTTATAGCGGTGGCATTGAGTTGAATCGATCTGCAGATGCTGTGTTTGCATGCCGTTAATTGGCTGGGACTGCAGCCAACTTCGTTGGCACTCGTCCATGTGGGCGTGGTCACCGTTGTGATTGGTCGATTTTAGATTTGCGCGCGGAATGGACCGCCGGCGAGGCGGCTCCACTCGCTCATCCTAAACGATTTCCTTGTTTTTCTTTACCTTCTTGTTGTTTGTATGCGTTATGCTCATCAGTGTAATGATTACTTTTATCAGAGACAGTGCGTAGTTGAAGTTTTCCCCATTCAAGTCCCCTAATCTATCGCATTAATGGGGCTTAGCGATTTTTTTGCACTCGAGGGACACTGCCAAGTATTGGCATTTTGCCTTCTAGTAGCTATTTATCTGTTACTATAACAACCAAGAAACTTATTTGTTGAGAGTATTGCAAAGAATTCGCCTGAATTGTTATTATTTGGCGTGTTCTGTTCTCAAACTTTGAACGGCTTATTTTTCCTAGAAATTCAGATGGAGGGACGCTACGTTCTTGAGCTACGTGATCGTGATCCGGCTACCGTCGAGGACCTGGTGTTAGATGGCTGTGAAAGTGCTGAAATTGAAGGACTCAGCGATAAACTAGTAAAACTACAGGTATTGAACAGATTTCAGTTCTTGTTAGGGTTTCGTCAAGTTCTGGTCTTCTCCCGCTGACCAGCATTGTGTACATAACCTTGTGCGGCTAGTCGTGCAACAATGAATTACTTTCTCGAATAGTTTGATAACAGCTGAATTCACTCCTTTTCAGAGTCTTAGCATGGTTCATGTCGGTTTACAAAGTCTGAAAAATTTGCCGAAACTTCCTATGTTGAGTAAGTTGGACATTTCTGATAACAACATCGCTGGTGGTCTACAGCATGTAGCTGATAACTGCCCTGAGCTTCTTCACCTCAACCTTGCTTCGAACAAGTAAGTTATTACATCTTACGCATTTTATCACTTTTGATTTCCCAATTTCTTAGGATCGAGAAAATCGAGGAATTGGAGCCACTAAAGAAAATGAAATTAGCTGAGCTCGACCTGTTCAACAACCCCGTCACAGCAGGAGGAGATGGCGAGTACAGGTGAGTAGAAACACCATGCTTTCAAGCAATCAGTAGTTTCATCATTTTGTAGTGGCGATTTCATTGATATTGATTGATGGCATTTAGGTCTAAGGTTTTCGAAATGATTCCATCACTGCAAATTCTTGATGGCGCGGATGTTAATGGTGAAGACGTGGATGATTCACTTGATGGGGAGGTGTGATTTTATAATCTAAAGCTTTTGTTTTATTTGTTACAAGTAGAAGCCAGCCAACTCATTCAACATATTTCTCCAAACTTAATTTAGGAGTCTTATTTTCTTTACAATTTGACCTTTACTTTGGTTTTGTGTAACAATTCACCTGCAATGTTGATTGCACGCGAAAACAAAGAGTAGTTCATTCATTTTGTTGATGCTTAAGTTTGCAAAGTTGCCTTCGCTTCATTTATCACCGTTACCCGTCTCTTTCACATACACTTATCTCGATATCTTTCGAGCCCTTTAACTTCAGCAGATTTCCCTGCTTCGCAATGATAGCTATTTCAGACTTCACTACAAATCGTTACTTGCACTCATTGAGTAAATGGAATTTAGATACTGTTGCTTTCCAACTATTTTTGCTCAAGAGCTGTAGTTCGCTCAAGTCTGGTCGAATGTAAAGTAGTTGTTGATCCCAAGGGATAGCACTGTTCAAGAAAAAAAAAATGCAATCATCAATTAGATTGTCCTTGATAATCCTCGTATCTATGACCTCTTCAAATTTTTCTTTTCTTCCGTTCACGTTGCCTTTGAAATAAATTTCTGATTTGCTTCATTGTAAAGTAATTTTTACTAGGATGGTCTCGAAGGAGAAGATAGTGGAGATGAATCAGGTTCGGATCTCGATGGGCCTGGCCTAAGCTATCTGGATAACAGTCAGCTGGTGAGTTAGAGTCATTGATCGAAGCAGTTAGGTCGAAATATCATTAGAAGTGTTATGTATGGAAATGAGGACCTTTTTTTTCAGGATGAGGACGAGTCTGAAGAATACAAACCAGCTGATGAAGCGGATGAAGAGACGGCAAAGAGAGGATTGAAGAGGCGTAATGAAGAGACAAATGGAGATGAATCGGGCACGAAAAAGAAGGCTGACGAATAAGTGGATCTGTTACTCTTCTGTTCTCTAATCTGTCATTGCACGCAATAACTGTCGATAAGGAATCCTCATTGAGCTATGCATTGCTCATCGTGTGGTGGTGTCGAGTTGTTTAGTGTGCAAATGTTGTTCAGTATTACCTTCCGTTTGTTTAATATAATTTAAGGTCTTTTTTATTTTATTTAATTTTTTCTGCTTACGTGGTCCCTTTGATGGGTTTTGTTGCATATTGATTTCACTGGACATCTCGGTGCGGACCTCGTTATCACGTGTGCTCCCTCCCTCCATATGTAACATTACTTAAAATAGGTGTGTCGCAACAAAAGATTTTGTGTTGCGTAGGAAACAGTGGCAACTCGGTACCCGTCTGAGGGACGTGGTTGTCGGTTGATCTTATGATGAGTTACGTGTTACATTTTCTCATTATTTTAATGATCTAGATCTACCTTTTTCTCTTCATTTAAGATAAATGTCATTCTCCAGTGTTGTGTTTGTTTCACTTGAAGACGTTAGAACGTCAGACGGTATCTCATCAAGTTAGAAACTTCCTGTTTGGAGTGTGCCACAGCTGGATTTAAGCAGCTTCAAATCCTAGTTATAAGCATATGAACGGCTTTCCGTAAATCTCTGATTCTGCAGATTAGTTTTTATGGTGTTGCTGGGTTTTGGGGGTTTGTGATCACATAAGATTATAGGAGATTAGGGATGGCAAAGAAGGCATCCAGTTTTGGGTGGCTTAAGTTCAGAAATCCATGGCAGACAACACTGAACAAGGGATTGCTCACGGAGATTTTGGGAGGTTGAGTTGCTTGAAGTCTAGAGGGTCTCCAACGGGTAACATGATTGGATTCTGCTGAAGGGGCTCTGAGTGGAGTAGCAACCTAATCGGAAAAACTTTTTGGATATATGTATATACGTCGGTACAGAATCGTAAATTTTCCCATACTACTGAGTTTTACTGCATTCGTTTTGATATCCCTGCCGCTAGTCTGTCTGACATAGTCCGGGGTCCTGGTTATCGAGCCGAGTTGTATGGTCTACGAGTTAGCTCTACAGTATTTTCTATGCTCGTTGCAGATATGGGTAGACCAAAGGCATCTGAAGCTGACCCACTTCGAAAAGCCAAGCGCGGTCGACCAAGTAAACACAAGCGTGAAGAGCACGTTATTGTTCATACCGGCTTCGATGGACATGCCAATGCACCCTGGTGAGTTGAATTTTTAAGTATATTCATCTTGTTTATGTCCTGATTGGAATAAGGCCTCCACGATTCATTTTCAAACCACCTGAAGAGTTGCATATTGCACTTATCGAGTGGAATCAAATGGTAGACTCATTGCAGGCGTAAAACAGTGTCCATCTTCAAACAACCAGTAACTCTTGTACACACATCCGGACGTGACACGAAGAAAGGAACTGAACAGCAGCTGAAACGGGGACTCACAGGTTCACGTTCTCAAGAGAAACCCGTACCGGTAATTTTACATTGCCTTATCCATCTAAAAAGAAAGTTCTCGTTTTTTCTAAGCGGTTTTTATTTCAAGGTAATGTGGGCGAAAGCACTTGAGAATGTTCAAGCCTTGATTCCCACTGCTGTTGCGGACAAGGTGACTTACTTTTACGAAGAGACTTTTGTTAACATCGTTAACTTTCGAAAGATTTGCCCTTTACGAACGAATGCTCGTGTCGGGCTCTTGTGAAGTGCACTTTTTGTAGGTGGATGTTAACAAAACGGAGTATCTCACTGAGAGTCTTCATCTTGCCGGCCGTCTCGAAAGAGCAAGTAGCATTCTGAGTGAGCAAGCAGCGGCGGCTACTCTTTTCACCAGCATCCACAATCCAAATCAGTCTGGGTGAGATGTTTTGTTCAATCGGTCCAATTTTTTTCCTTTTTGAAACTAAGCCTTCTCCTACCTCTTTGGTGGTTTTGAAAAATTATAATCCTCTCCTAAAAGTGAAAATTAAGTTAATTATTTTCTTGGATCACATCTTTTTGAATTGGCATGCAGAACAGTTTTCATGTACGGTTTTCTTTTGCAGGGCTTTTGGCCAAACAGCAGATAAGGAGAAATTAGAAAGTAATTTGATGCTCAACGTCAATCCGGATCAACCTATACTCCGAGTAAGTGTCTCAATAATCATCAAGCAGTTTCCATGTGCGAATGTCCCTTGCGAACTTATCAGAACATAAACTTTAAAATTAAGTTTGAATTTTCTATTCCGCTCCATGCTCATTAGGTCATCAACTATCGCATCAGCATTTATTTATTGATCCGCAGCATGTTTACTACTGACTCAAATATATTTCTTTGGAAATTTGTTTGTTTGTCTTTTCATTCAAAGAAATCATAATTCGGTTTATTCCAGCCAATCACGGTGCAACCAGAAGACATCACAGCTCAGGAAAGACGTGTCCTTGATGCGCGGAAGCGACTCCAGGAAGTGATAAAACATTTTGGATGATCTCATATTTATTATGCTGTAATTGTTGTTTATCTATTTTCTCAATTCTTTTTGTGTGAAGGGGTTTCTGTGTTGGTACTTGCATACATACTATTGTTCCGTTATAATTTTGATGATTGATTCAATAATAGTGCCCAAATATTTGCATTATCTTTTAGATGTTTGACTTTCTGACCATTAGTTTCCATTAATGTTAAATAGCGATGGCTTTGGGGGATAGGTCCATTGATTGAAAGGCTTTAACGAGACGAATATGTAAATTTAGTATTCATACGGGCAAGCAATTGAAATTAGTGATATTAGGATCGTTGGGAGAAGCAGAAATTACAGATATATCGAGGCCAATAAATTCCGAACGAGAGTATAATAGTGTTGGGGTTGTGAATTCTACAAATAGGCAGTGAACAGTTCAAAGGCCTGCTATTCGCTGCAAAATTAGCTACGGTATTGCGCGTTAGTCAAGCTAGCCTGATTCTGTGTGAGTAAAACAGTAGGAGGGGTCTGTGTTGATGGGGTGGGAGTAGGTACAAGACGTCGCCGTCGCCGTTGTGCGCCTAATCAAGGCGACTGTGTGAGCGACGGCTTCGAATAGTGTTGGAACCTTTTTTTCATCAATACATAAAATAAAAAGGCCACTTAAAGCCGACTGAGGCCATGGCACGTACCGTAACCAATGTATATTCGGGAGGTCGACTCTGATTGCATGCAAATGTTCACAAATGTGTCGGTCAACTAGTGGTTAAACGTGGTGTCTGCTTTTATTAATCGTCGAAACCGTAACCTTCGGGCGTCTCTGAGCTCTGAGAAAACTGCCTGGGGAATTTCGCGTGGTCCTTTGGCAGGTTCTGTGCCGTGCCACTGTGCCCGGATTTAGGTCTTGGTGGTCCTTGCCCTTTTACCGGGATAGTTAAATAGTGTTTCACTGAATTTTTCACGTCACTGAATTACCTCGGTACCACAATGATGTTAACCAATGGTAATTAGCATAAATTTTAGCAATCCCTAATAACCTGAAATGCTCTAAGAAGTATCACTGACCCAAATAAGGTACCCCGGAAGACTCTCAGAAGGGAGAGCATGGAGGGGCTCAAGATACCTGTAAACATAAAGCAACTAACAGTAAGATAACGAACTAGGTTTCAAGAAAACTGACCCTGAATCTGAGTGCAGCGAGCGCTTACTGGTTTAAGTGGTTTTAGTTCTGGTCATCATAAACCAATGCCATTTGCTTCAAGCATCCCACCAAAACTCATCGGTGCACCTATTGATGTGGCAAAGTGCAATTCCCTTATCTTCCTTAGGCACTTCTCAGGCAAAATAGGCAGTCACTTGACAATGTAGGACTACGGGTGTGGCCTAATTTGATAACTAGCAACCGATACACTTATGGTTGAATAGATACTGGCCTGTACAGTAACCTGCCAAAAAAAAACGATGCCTTTGATCTGCGTCCAGGGTCAAAAGAGCCTTGACAGAATAAAAAGAAGTGATGAGGGACACTTGTCACGTCCGTCAGGTCCTCCTCAATATGCAGTATGAAACAATGCACGCACATATGGATTATCGCTCACACTCACCTGACAAGCTCACCGATGGCCGATGGATTCCACGACTCCTAGGAGGTGATTTCCCTACCTCTACACTGCCCATTATATGGCACTTTTGGAAAATTCCCAGATTTAAATAGAACAAGAATAGGAGAATAAAGAAGAAGGTGTAGTCAAAGTAGGGTAGCTCACTGATAGAATGAAAGCAAAGACTAATAAGAAGCATCTGTTTGCTTGACCCAGAAGATTTATGGCTAGGGGCTAGGGTCGTAAACAGTTCCTCGAGTGAGTTATGACCTATTGGACCACTCTGCGGTGGTACAGTAGATGCCAGTTCACAGTCGTAAAGACTGTTTGTTCAAACGGATTTAATGTGGCGCCACCCATGTTTGTTTCCGAAATGGTTTCTGAAATCAGGACTTTTACGCTCCCAGATGAACATGTTGCAGATAAATTATCCCGAAGGGATGGAAGGCCTCATTGGACTGGCTGAGTTTTATTCCGGAATGCGCCCTTGATACAAACGTATGGAGTGCTTCACTTGGCAGCAGTCCACCCCACCTCCATGAAAATGAAAAACACGCTTCGAGGCTTCTGATCATCTGGGTACGGAATTCCTGGGGTGAGGACTTTTTGCTATGGTGCCAGTTTCAGAAGACGGCGAGTTGGATAGCATACTTGCTTGAATGGACAGGTAGAAGCGGTGACTTGCATGGCATGTGCAGTTGGGAAAATTCTTTTCTTCCTGCCCCCGTTTGGACTGCTGAAGCGGCATTTTGGGGAGATATGGGAAATGATGTAAGCCGTACCGATCCACTATGGAAAAGATGTACAAGATTGGGAGGCTGCACTCCGCCAGAAGGCGAATGTAGGGAACACTATCACAGGTAACTGGCTGTGTTGGGCAGTTGGCACATAATAGCTAACGAAATACTATTGAAGAAAGACTTTTATCTGATTTTCTAAACGCAATTATTTTCTGAGGCATACTGTGGAACACATTCGATCAGATAGGGCTTTCTTGGATCTGTTTCCTGCCGTACACTCGATCCTTTTGCCATCACGAGCTGTCGTCTATCACGAGACTCGAAGGGGAAAGACTTTGGTTCAATAATCCCTTCAATCAGTAAATATGCATTCAGGGCAAATCGAATGCATGCTTTCTGGATGATCTCATTTTCTTATAGCATCTACAGAAAAAGCTAATAACGGCATACTCTCGTTGGCAGCTCACAAAAGTTGGCTCCTGCTAAAGCTGCTAAAAAATGAGGCACTCCGTAGAGTTAAGGCCGGTACAACTAAGGACGATCAGTTTGGTAAGAGAAATCGTTCCTCGAAATGTCCTATCATCCCTTTAGATGCATCCCATTCTGGAGATTCAATCAGGTAACGTGACATCGAAAACTCGAGGGGCAATAGTTGACGGCGCCAATAATTCTCCGATGCTCCACCCTGGCCGAAGTGCTATCAAACCGTCGACAGATTAGGGTGTTAAATGGTCTTTTATGAGCCGACGAAACCGTTGATAGTGTGCTTGGGATGAAGGGCACAGACACACTATCGTGTTGTCAGTAATGTTCAAAGGGATGCCGCTGATAGACAGACGCTGCCCAAATCGCCGTCCTGTTTGATCACCTCAAATGTTGTCTTCACCATCTCACTGTCATTTGCTGAACAAACGTACTTTTGTGCTTCATTAGGTTACTGTAATCAGCAATTCTCATTCACTTCTTTCCTCTTCTCCTCGATGAACAGTTTTTCTTTAACTTATCGAATACTTCTCTTTGAACACAGCCTCAAAGGAGAGTAGAGCGGTCTCCTTCACTTTTACATTCAGATGAAAAAAACGTTCAAGTTCTTCCGTCCATGGGAGGATGCCACTCCGTCGATTCCGCCAGTAACTCCTCCTTTGATCTGGCAATTTTCACCGAGCTCGAGCAGCTTTTTCACGACTTTTCCCAGTCCGTCCATTTCACCAACAGCTCCAGTCAATTCACCACCTACTACGAAACGGCAGTGCGTTCGATGCTCATGCCCATTTTGCATTTTACGGTAATTTTTTGCAATGATTCAGACTTATTACTTGCATGTGGCGTGATTTGAAGGCGTAGATGAAGTTCTGAGAGAGATAGCCTGTGAAGGCTCTGGCGTGGGTGTATGGTGTGACCGTGACGGAAAGGCTCAGGTGACGTGTCATGGTGATGATTGCATGAGAGGTGGTTGGACCTTGAGCGACCTGGGTTTTTCAAAATCTTCCCATTCCGATCGAAGAAGCTGTTTTCCAAGGTGGCCATAAACGGGCATGCTTTGGTATGGTATCCATGGTCCGCTTGTGATTATTTAGTATTTGCTTGACTGCACCATTTGGATCTTTCCTATCAATGTGAGGAGAAACTCTGCAAAATTCTGCAAAAGCCAAAAAAATTTTTCCAGAAATCTCGGCAGTTCCAAGAAGATATTATGGCCTCCGAAAAAATTCTCCGTAACCTGTCAATCTCACCGAATTTTTTTCGTCACCCATCACATTCTATTTGTGAACAAATCATTATATCACCTATATATCCAATTGCCACTACTGCAATGATTCCGTACAGTCCAATTGGGAAAAGCAGTAGAAGTTGTCAACGGACTCCGTTTTTGTACTCGACTAGTGAGGTTTTCCATGGGTTTTCACACTTTCAAACAGAATCTTTTCGGAAATTGCTTGAAGAACAGGAATGACTGGAGGACTTCCTTTATTCCCTCTACTTTTGACTACTATCCGAACGAGTCGACTTCATGGAAACTTTAGTCAGCGACGCAAGTTGGGGGAACCGAAATCGGCGGCAAGTTGTTCTGAAGAGTTGCTGCGAGGGTTAGAAGACACAGTACTGGTTGCGGCGACAACGATGTCTAGAAAAAATAAGAAAACAAGGAGAATAAAAGTATAGTTCTAAAGGAAGTCAAGAGGGGAAAACAAATGTCGCTTATATACGCTATGAGGTATTAGCAATTAAA